TGACCCCAGCCGCCCGGGCGACGGTCACGGAGCTGGTCGCCGCGGCGTGCCAGACCCTCGCCAACGGAGAGGCCCCGCGGGAGCTGGCGCCGAACCTGGCAGGTGCGAAGCTGGTGGCGTTGGAAAAGGACGACGGGGGACTTCGTCCGATCGCGGTCGGCGAGGTCCTGCGCCGCTTGACCAGCAAGGCGCTCTGCGACCACGTCAAGGGTCGTGCGCGCCAGATGCTCTGGCCGCTGCGGACAGGCTGCTGCAGCCCCCTGGGGGCTGAAGCCACGGTTCACGCCGTGCGCCAGTGGTGCGAGCGAAATGCAGACGAGGACGACAAGATGCTGCTCAAGCTCGACTTTGCAAACGCTTTCAACTCGCTGCACCGTGACCCCGCGTTGCGCGCTGTCCGTGCCCGCTTCCCGGAGCTGGAGCGCTGGGCGCGCTGGGCTTACGTGGAGCCCTCCAATATGTGTTTTGGCAGCCATGTGATGTCTTCGCAGGCAGGCGTACAACAGGGGGACCCGCTAGGGCCCTTGATCTTCGCCCTCGCCGCGCACGCGGTGTTGGAGGAACTCGCGGGCGCTGCAGACCTGGACCTATGCGCCTTCTACTTGGACGACGGCTTCCTGGCGGGCTCGAAGGAGGCTGTGGCGCGAGCACTAGCGACTCTGCAGCGCCGCTGCCCTGACCTGGGCCTCCTGCTCCACCTCGGCAAGTGCGAGCTCGTAGTCCCCTGCGGACGCAGGCCGGACGGCCTGGCAGACCTCTTCCCTGCGCCTCTCCTGGCGGACGCAGAGACGGGGGTCGACCGCATTGTCCTCAGAGGCGACTTCAAGCTCTTGGAAGCGCCTATTGGGGCGAAGGACTACTGCGAGGCGTTCACCCAACGCCGCGCCGACAAGACGAAACCCGCCCTGGAGGCGCTCGCCAACCTGCACCCCCAGGTGGGCCTCGCGCTCCTGCGCTACTGCGCGAGCTACGCGAAACTCCCGCACGGCGCCGTCTGCTCTGCTCTCGGAAGCGTTGCACTGCTTCGACGACGGCCAGCGGCGCGCGCTGTCGAACCTGCTGGCGGCGGAACTGACGGACGCGCAGTGGCACCAGGCAGCCAGAGGGTTCGCCCACGCGGGGCTCGGTCTGCGGGAGCTGACAGCACACGCGCCCGGCGCTTACTTGGCCAGCCTCGCAGCCACGCGGCACCTGTGCTGCGACCTTGACCCGGCCTACGCGTGGGCGCCGGACAGCGCGGCTACGCTGGAGGGGCAGGCGCTCCTGGCGTACAACGCCCTGCTGGCGCCGGCGGACGGCCTCGACCCGGCGGCGCTCGACAGGGCCACGCAGAAACAGTTCCTTGCCGCGGTGGACGAACGCGGGCACCAGACCTTTCTGGCGGGCTTGGGGGCAGCTGACCGCGCTGACATCAATTCAGAGATGCTGCCTGGCGCGTCAGACTTCCTCGAGGCGCAGCCCAGTGAGCAGCTGGGGCTCCTTTTCGAACCCGAGAGATTCGCGTGCGAGGTCAAGCGCAGGCTCCTCATGCCCGCGTACGAGACTGAACACTTCTGCCCCTGCTGCGAAGACGTCTGCGACCGCCACGGCCGGCACGCAGGACTATGCGCGGGGGCCGGGGATCGCGTCCACCGGCACAACGGGGCGAAGAACGTGGTCGGCACCTTCGCCACCAGTGCGGGTTTCAACCCGACGCTCCAGCAACCTGGCCTCCTACCGCCCCGCCCAGACGACGTCCAGGTGAATGGGCGCCGGCCTGCAGATGTCTACATCCCCTCCTGGTTCCAGGGGGCGCCTGCTGTCTTCGACTTCGCGGTGTCTTCGCCGCACAGGCACGCTGCCCATGTCCTGGCGTTCCAGGAGGTGGGGCGCGCGGCGCAGGAGTACGAGTTGGTGAAGAGGAACCACCTCGACACAGAGCGGCAGTGCCAGCAGCAGGGGATCGTGTTCATCCCCCTCGTGGCGGAGCCCTGTGGGGAAGGGCCCGACTGGCGCCGAGACTCTGCGCCGGCTCGCCCGGGCCAGCGATCGGAGACGAGGCGAGGAGCTGGGGGCGGGCGCGGCACGCCTGTTCCAGCGCCTGTCCGTGGCGATCCGCCGGGCGACGGCGCGAGCAGTCCTGAGGAGGCACGCGGAGCTCCCCTCGGCTGGCGGAGCTGTGGCTGCCGCGCCAAGCTTGCTGGCAGAGCTGGTGGAGGACGACGCTTAGAGCGTGTCCCGCCGTCGTTCCTTCTCTGCCCCTCCTCCCGCCGTGTCTTCCACCCGCCCATGCGCGGGCAGCTACTCAGCATTTTGATATTTTTCGTGTTTACGCGAGTGACGATCCCTTCTGCTGTCGTCTTCGTCGTTCGTCGTCGTCGTCCGTCGTTCGTCTCTTCCGCTCCTCTCGCCTTTCCCGCTCCTACTCCGCCGCCGGCGTCTCCTCCTCCCCTCGGGGGGCCATTCCTTGCGGTGGGTTGGTGAACGGTGCGCGCCTTGCTCCCGCTTGCGGAAGCTGGGGCGTGCGCCGATCGCCTCTCGCTGCTTTGCATGGCCTGGCCCCCTGCTCGCCCTTGTGCCCCTCGGGGCCTCCCCCGTCGTTGCTGTTTGCTGATGGATCGACGCTAGCTATCCACACTACGATAACACACTGTTTTGGATCCACGGTGGCAATCGTTGCCGTTGGAGACAGTCTTAGAATGATTGTTGTTTTTGTTGTTTATTGTCGTCGTGCCCCCTGCGACCCACCCCGCGACCCACCCGCGACCCACCCGCGACCCACCCCGCGACCCACCCCGCGACCCACCCCGCGACCCACCCGCGACCCACACGCGACCCACCCGCGACCCAACTCGTGACCCAGCCCACGACCCGCCCTGCGACCCACCCGCGACCCGCCCCGCGACCCACCCGCGACCCACCGGCGACCCATACGCGACCCACCCGCGACCCACTCGCGACCCGGCCCGCGACCCACCAGCGACCCACCCGCGACCCACCCGCGACCCATCCCGCGATCCACCCACATTGCTTTAAGGAAAAAATCTGCGCCTGCGGCAGGCTCAATGCTAAAAGTTAGGCGCCTGCGGCGGGCTTCTTCAGAGCCTCGCAAACTCACTGCTACCACGACCACCACCTCGACCACCGCTTGCCGTCCGCCCCCTGTCCCTTGCCCCTTCCTCCCCCCCCTCCGGCCGGTCGCTCCTCCCGCTTCCCCCTCCCCTTGCTCTTCCGAGTGCCGTATTAATTAATAATTAATTCTCTGGCATTCGTGTCCCGCGCGGGCCGCCAGTGTGGTTTGGCACCAGGGAGCCGCCGCCAGCTGCCCTGCCCGGGCCTGGATGCTCCCTGAGTGCCGGGGACCGCCCTCCCCCCCCGAGAGAGAGAGAGAGAGAGAAAGAGACAGAAAGAGAGAGAAAGCGAGAGAAAGAGAGAGAGAGAGAAAGAGAAAGAAAGAGAGAGAGAGAGAGAGAGAGACACGATGTGGGGGGGGCCGTGCTGAAAAAGAGCGCGATCTCCTTCCTTTTACGGGGGATCGCGCGCGCCCGCTGCCGGCGCGCCGCTGAGTTCAAGTGCCCGGCGATCCGAGACGGCCGCGGGGCAAGGGAGGTGAGAGCGAGGCGCAGAATGAACAGGCTGAAATGGGAGTAACAACCACACAGGAAGAGACATGGGGAGGAGGAGGAAGAGGAGGAGGATGAGGCAGAACAAGGGGGAGGCAGGAGGATGAGGTAAAAGGAACAGGAGAGTGAACTGAAGAGTGTAAGGAGAGTGTAGCAGGAGGGAAAAAACGGGCGATCCTCAGATTCTCGTTCGGGGTCCTTCCGTCGGACTCTTTGGGTTTTCGCTTGTAGGAACATCCGACGGTCCAAAACGCCTCGAGAGGCAACCGGGGCCGCCACAATACGACCCCAGAGGCCCCAAACAGGGCCCCAAGACGGCCCCAAGAAGACCACAAGACGGCCTCAAGAGGGATCCAAGAGCGGGAACAAGAATCGAAAATCCGAGCCTTCCGCCCCAGGAGGCGCCCTTCAGGCGCCAAGAGTCCCCCAAGAGGACCAAAAGAGGCTCCAAGAAGCCCAAAAGAGGCCCGAAGGAAGCTCCAAGAGGCTCCAAAACAGCATCCATAAGCGTCAACCCTGCTGAGTCTTCTGCCCAACTACTTTATCTACATTTAGTGGAGCAGACAATCATAAACATACAATGTTGGATGTCCGCGCGAATTTCTTGGATCCGCGCTGGAGCCCCCTCCCCGGCGAGCAGAACGTGCCAGGAGCGGTGCCGGAGGCGCCAACAGCAGGGTCCAGCGCGGAAAAGTTGTGTGTTATGCAGTTTGTTGTTATTCGACTTCCGCCCCACGACCTTTTCACGCCACGGCGGTTCCGAGAGACCGCAGGGCCTCGACCCAATGTGTCCTAATGTCCGCCGAGCGCGCCCTCAGTGTCATCGGTGGCGGGCTCGGCGCGCGGCCTTCAACCACCACGCAGAAGTCGCCTAAGGCCGCGTCCAGCACCCGAATCTGCGACACGGCGTCGATGGGCCACGACCCGACGGCCTCCTGAAAAGGCCTCCCAGATGGGGTCGGAACGATGGGGTCGGGGGATCGTGCCGCATCGCCGATGCATCGCCGATGCATTGGCGATGCGCTGGTGATGCTGGCGATGCATCGGCGACGTCGGCGTGGAGAACATCGGGCTCCACATCGAGCCGCATCGCCGACACACCAGCCATGCGTCGCGATCCTCCGACCCCATCTGCTCCGACCCCATCGAGTAGGCCTGGATCCTCGTCGCCAGGGTGACCGCACCAGGCCAGCCGCTGCTCCAAGCGCCCTCCACCCTTCAGCACGAAAAGGTACCGCTGCCACCGCCAACACACTCCGGCGCCAGGGGAGCGAGGCTGCGTCCGGCGCTGGACGTCCAGGAAGCCGAGTGTGAGCGTGGGCCCGCCCGCGAGCAGGAGGCAGGAGGGGCTGTGCGGCAGGAGCAGGAACACGTCCGCCTCGACGAAGGCCAGGGTGCTCAGCGGTTCCCCGCTGGCGCCGAGCAGTGGGACGACGGCGGCGTCGACGGAGGCCACGATGCTAGAGGAAGAAACAACTTCATAAACATGCACTATCGGCGCTCCGCGCAGATTTCTTTGGATCGGTGCTGGGCCCCCTCACAGGCGCGCGGAGCGCGCCAGGGGCGGCGCCAGAGGCGCCGCCACGGAGGCCCATCGCCGATTGGAGAAATCCACGCGGAGCGCCGAGGAGTGTATGCTAAAGCAGTGTTTGCTCTTCGATATGCTGGCGGTGTCCCGCTGCGGCTGCAGCGTGCGCAGCGCTAGGCGCAGCTCGGCCGCCAGCCGCGCCCTGCCAGGCACGTCCAGCACCATGTCTGGCCAACGCGCGCAGCGCAGCACCAGCACGCTGCCAGAGCTGGCGGGCAGCAACACAGCGGAGAGCTCATGGAGGCCGGCGGCGCGGTGCAGCGCCCAGTCCCTGGCACCAAAGAGCAGCAAGCGCTCGCTGGTGAGAACCAGGGCCTGGCTTGCGCCGGCGCCCTGCGCGAGCCCAGCGTGGGTGTAGTCGGTGACGACCTCCGACCAGCACCCGAGGTCTGCCTCGGGGCCGCTCAGGGCAGCCTGCTCCCTCGCCCTGCGGTTGCGCAGGAAACCCGCAGAGTCCCGCACTGGCGGCCGCAGCCTCTTCGCCGCCTGCGCAAGCAGGCCCTCCCCGCCCTCGCCGTGTGCGCCAGCGGCGCGTATGCAGCAGTAGGGCTCGTGGGCCGCCAGCTCCTCTTCAGCAGCCGCGCCTGTGACCGTGTCTCGGGGCCAGCCGTCGCAGAGGGACGCCGCCTGAGCGGCGATGCCGGCTGCCTGGCCGCTGCCATTGCGTTTATCTGCACTCGCGCGGGCGTTCAGCAGGATCTGGGCAATCCTGGATTTGTATATGAAAAAAAAACAGCATGCGTAGACATCAAACTGTCGGAGCTCCGCGTCGCGGAGCTCGTCAGGGGGGCCCAACACGAATCCAAGAAATCCGCACGGAGCTCCGAAGGTTAATGTTTATGCAGTTGTTTTTTCTTCCAGATCCTGTGCACTGACTCGGTGTCAGCGGAGCTGGCAGCAGCCCAGAACAGCGGAGTGTTGCCGCGCGGGTCTGGCGTGCCCACCGGGGCGCCCATGGAGAGCAGCGCAGCCACGGCGTCGGGGTAGCCTTGTAAGCAGGCGACGGCCAAAGGCGGCAAACCAGCGGCGGTCTGCTGCGATAGCGCGGGCCCTGCGTCCACCCGCTCGCGCGCGGCGTGCTCGTAGAGGGTGTGCAGCGAGTCCGCCTGCCCGTGCGCAGCGGCTGCGTGCCACGCGGTCCAGCTTCGCAGCGCAGGGTCGCCGGGCGCGGCCGACGCCGCTGCAACCACTGGCAACAGCTCCTCCAGGGTGTCAGTGTCGCCCCAGGCCGCGGCCCGGAGCAGCTCACGCTCCGTCTGGTGCCTGAGAAGCTCGCCGGAGCTCTCTTGCCCGAGAACGGCGGCCACCTGCTGCAGCTCCTCCAGCAACCTCTGCCGCAACAACTTCGCCTCCTCCTCGAAGCTGGCCGTGGGCCGCTCGCCCGGGGCCATCATGTTTCGTGGCCTCGGCTCGGAACTCGCCATGCAAGCCTTGTACTTCTGGAAGAGATCCGCTACCACGGCCAGGCCATGCGGGCTGAAGCACAGGTGCTCCCTCACATCACAGGGTAGGAAATCGTCAGGGCCCAGCTCCTGAGCCGGGCCACCGACGGCGTCGATGTGCGAGCGCATCATCAGGTCCAGCGCGCTTCGCAAGTCGCTCTGGAGCGTGGCAAATTGCTCATCCTGCCGCCTGGCCTCGCACTGCATGCGGGAGACCTCCCGGCGCTTGTCATCGAGGGTCTCCTGCAATTCCTCTGGCGCTATGGCCAGCTGTTTGGCGGTGGCGAAATGCTCGATGCTGTGCTGCACCGCGTCCAGCGACCTTCGCAACCGCCAAACCTCCGCGATACGTGCACCAAGCAGCCGCGCGCCACGTCCGAGACAGTCTTCGCCCAACATCACGCGACGGCCAGACTCGACGGCACGCTCCTGGATCTTACTGCGCGTGCGGGAAATGACGACGCCGCTGTCCTGGGGGAACTGGTGCAGCCTCGCCTCCAGCTCCTGCAGCTGCGCCGCCAGCTCTTGGCTCCGCCGAGCGCGCAGGTCGTAGTCCTGGCGCGCCTGCTGGAGCGAGACGCAGCGCAGACGGATCAGATCTTCGAGTCGCTCGCGCTCGGCCTCCTGCCCGCCGCCCTGAGGCGCCAGGCTTTGACGGCCGCGCTGGTCGGAGCCCGCGCTCGGGCCGCCCGCGCGTGCTGGCTCTTCCGCCGTGACTGTCGCAGAGTATAGAGGAAGAAACAACTGCACAAACGCATACCCTCGACGGTCCGCGCAGATTTCTTGGATGCGCGCCGGGCCGACTCCCTGGCGCGCGGAGCGCGCCAGGGGCAGCGCCGGAGGCGCCGCCAGGGGGAACCAACGCGGATCCACGAAATCCGCGCGGAGCGCCGACCAAATATCTTTATACAATTGTTTGTTCTTCGAGTGCTGGCTCCTCCACCGTGACTGCCGCAGAGGCGCCCCAGGCCTAAGCGATCGACTGTTTATCCATGCCCGTGCTCACGCCCCGATCCCCGCGAGGGGCCAGAGCGGGGGTACGTCCGAGGCCACGCTTTATATCCATACCCTGCTGCACCTGGCGCCCAGAGGGGGGGGGCAGCCGCAGGGGTATGGATCGAACGTCGATCGCCGAAGGCCTCCCGCATGCGAGGACCTCCCGTGGACCAAGCCTCCCTCGGGCTGCCGACCGGCCTCGCGTCCGCCGCGCCGCCGGCCTCGTGGTGGCCCGTGGCGACCTTGACGGGCTGTTGGGCGAACGCGCCGACGACGTCGCCGTCCACCTCTCAAGGGGCCCAGGGAGACACGTAGAAACCCACAAGCCCCCTGCGGGGCCACCAGGCTGTAGGACGAGGTGTGCTGCTCCCTGCGCCAATTGGAGGTCTCCAATGTTACAGTCCTGCGTTCTGCTTCCTACTGTAGATTGCTAGATCCGCGCGATTGGAATCCCAAACCGTTCGGTTACCACGCCTGGATCGCGTGCTCTGAATTCCCGGGGGGCGTGGGACACGTGAAAATATATGAGGTTCACGCCCCCGAGGCCATAATCCGTTGTACGTACATTACTCAATATTCGCGTCCTCAAGGCCATCGATCCTAGCAGATTACGCCATATTTGCATTGCCGAGGCCAAGAGTGCTCCAAGGCGCCCGAAGATGGTTCCAAAACGGCCCAAGAGGGCCCCAAGAGGCCCAAGAGAGCTCCAAGAAGCCTCTGGGAGAGCCTCCGAGAGAGCCCCAAGCGGCCAAGCTCGTCGATTTTACAAAAAAGTGTTTGAAGGATGTTGGCCTTCTCGTATGTTCCGCTTTCCGACGCTCCGAGACGGCTCAAAAAGCTCTCAAGACCGCCCCAAGACAGCCCAAGAGGCCTTCAAGAGGGCCCCAAGATGGCCCAAGAGGACTCCACGATGGCCCAAGAAGCGCTCAAGACGGCCCAAGAGGGCCCCAAGACGGGCCCAAGCAGAGGACCACGAACCGAAAATCCCACCAGCCCTCTGGGCGTGAGGGGCTTCCCCCTCCCGCCTGCCCGCTCCCCTTGGACCTGAGCGGCGGTGGTCGCGGGTAGTTGGAGCGGCCAAGATGGCCCAAGACGGCTCCAAAAGCGCCTCGGAGAGCCCAAGATAACCTCCAAGATGGCTCAAGGTAGCCTACAATGCCTCAAGATGGTTCCCAAGATGCCTCAAGAGGCCCCAAGAACGCTCCAAGACGGCTTCAGGTGGCAGCCGAGACATCCAAGGAAGTCTCCAAAAATCATTCAAAAACCGAAGGGCATCAATGCGGTGTGCTTTATTGCTTTTTCGCTTGCGATAGCCTTCCGAGGCCTCAAGATAGCTCCGAGATGGCCAAAGAGGGCCCCCAGAGAGGCTCAAGAGAGCCCCAAGACGGCCCCAAGAGCGCCCCACGAGGAGTCCAGGAAGAATTGTCGATGCTCCCGAGGAAAGGCGAATTGGAAGTCACCTCTGTGCTGATCGATGTTCTTCAAGCTGGTCCCACGAGCGCCCCTCAAGCTCCCAAGGGCGCCCCATGAGGGCCCCAAGAGGCGCCCAGACGGCCCAAAGAGGAGTCCAAGAAACCTCCAAGAAGCTCCCCCAAGACAGCCCCAAGAGGGCCCAAAGACGGCCCAAGAGGCCTCTAAGACGCCCAAGGAAACCCCCTAAGACGGCCCTGGAGCAGTCCAAGAGGGCCCAAGTCGGCCCAGAGATGCCCCGAAGATGGCTTCCGACGGCGTCAGACGGACCAGGAGCCCACCAAGACGGCCGACGACGGCCCTAAGATGGCCCTAGTCGGCCCAAGAGGCCTCCAAGAGGGCCTCCAAGGAGGCCCGAAGAGCCAAAATCATTGATCCCCCTGAGTGTTTGAAGGATTGTGGCGTTTGCTTGAGCCCCCGAAGATCGCCCCAAGAACGCCCAAGAGGACTCCAAGATGGCCCCAGAACGGCCCAAGAGGCCCCCAAGACGGCCCCAAGAGGGTCCCAAGACGGCCCAAGAGGCCTCTAAGACGCCCAAGATGGCCTTCAAGACTGCCCTGGAGCAACACAAGAGGGCACCAGAGAGGCCCCCAAGGCGGCTTCCGACGGCGTCAGACGGGCCAGGAGCCCACCAAGACTGCCAAAGAGGTCCCCGAGAAGCCCCCACAGGCATCCAAGAGGGCCAAGGAGGCCCTCAAGATGCCTCCAAGAGGCTCCCATGAAGCTCCCAGGAGGCCCCAAGAGTGTCCTCAGAGGCTCCCAAGATTCTTCCCCGCCATCCTCCCCCAAATGATCCCCGAAGGGTCTCCCAAGGGTTGCGGAAACACATGTTCCGATAACTTGGCAGAGCTCTTGCCACAGCGCTCGGCCGCATGGGCGATTCTAGAAGGTAGGGGGCGGCGGTGATTCGCCGTAGGCGACTTCGATAACGCCAACGTCTCAATACGCGCTGATAATTCCTATCCGCCCCCGCATGATGTTCCCAGGTGCGCCATGGCAGCGCCGAGACGCACCGACGCGACTCTGATATATCCCATTCTAATAGAGAGAGGGTCGGCGGCAGGGGGCGAAACCATTACAGATAAACGCAAACCCTAGGGATCCTCATGGGCTTCTATAATTAAATCATGTTTGACTTCCCCTTCAGTTCCAATCCGCCGGCCCCCTTGTGGGGCCACCAGGCTGTAGGCCCGTGATTCGCAGTTTCCTGTACCAGTCGTAGGTTGTAGTTTCCAGTGTTACAGTTCTGCTTCTTGCTGGTTACTGTAACTAGTTGACTTATTGCTGGTTACTGTAACTAGTTGATTGACCGCGCGAGGGGGGGGGAGGCCCAAACCGGCTTTTTAGCACCCCCTGGGCGCGTTGTCTGAATTGCTCGGGGGGCTCGAAATCGACACCCCTCACGCAGATCCGCGGGGTCAGGGTCCAAAAACACAGAGGATTTGCCACATTTCTGAAATTCGGTGCCACCCCTCACGCAGATCCGCGGGGTCAGGGTCCAAAAACACAAGGATTTGCCACATTTCTGAAATTCGGTGCCACCCCTCACGCAGATCCGCGGGGTCAGGGTCCAAAAACACAGAGGATTTGCCACATTTCTGAAATTCGGTGCCACCCCTCACGCAGATCCGCGGGGTCAGGGTCCAAAAACACAAGGATTTGCCACATTTCTGAAATTCGGTGCCACCCCTCACGCAGATCCGCGGGATCAGGGTCCAAAAACACAGGGGATTTGCCACATTTCTGAAATTCGGTGCCACCCCTCACGCAGATCCGCGGGGTCAGGGTCCAAAAACACAGGGTGATTTGCCACAAACTTTCCCTCGGCCCTTTAATCCCAATAACCAAGCTCGTAAACCATACACGTCTTACCAATCGCCCTGTGTGGTAACCCCTCTTGTGATCGCCGATTGCGAATCGGCCTCGCATGAAGTTCCTATACTGCTGCACGACAGCGCCAAAGCCTCGTGACTTAGCTCTTCCATGGCCCATTCTCCGAGAGAGGGGGCCGGCGGCAGGGGGCGAAGCCCTTACGGATATCATCATACATTTGCCTTGAAATTTACGTGTCTTTGTGTCTGGTCTATTTTTCTCCTGAACCTCGCAGTGGCCCGCCTGTGCGAACGCGCCGACGACGTCGCCACCCACGTCGTCCACGGGCTCTGGCAGCCATTCCTAGAATCACACATAAACGCCATAAGCATGCACTTTCGACGGTTCGCGCGGTTTCTTGTATCGGCGCTGGGCCCCCCCCTGGCGGTGCCTCCCGAACCGCCCCTGGCGCGCTCTTCGCGCCAAGGAGAGGGGTCTAACGCCGATCCGAAAAATCCGCGCGGAGCTCCGACAGGATATGCGCCATCGCTCGGACGTCCATTCCCTGTGCATTTTCCGTTTTCGTGGTTTTCCCTGTTCTGTCGCAAGATGATATGAGATGCTCGTCGCCTTGAAGAAATCCACACATCCGAGCGATGCCAACTTTTGCCTTCTTCGAACTCCTCCACCTCGAGGGCCTGCCTCCTGGCCGCCCGCACCCCGCTGGCCGGGGCCCACGGGCCCTGGCCGCGCGGCTGGCCGACCGCTCCGCGCACGCCCTCCGCGGCTGGTGGCTCGGCGGAGCTTGCACGCGCGGGCGGCGCCGCCCCTCCTCGCGGATCGCCGTGCCGCTCGGCAGTGACGCCGGGCGCAGCCTGCGCCAGGGGCATCCGAACCAAACCGCCGCCAGCCATCGAGCTGCCTGAATCGTCGATCGGCGAGGGTGGGGTTCGGATTTCGCCGCCGAGTCCTGCACGGCGGCCGGCGCGCCAGCGCTCCTCCGCGGCGGGGCCCACACTGACAGCGGCGGGCCGCTGGGGCCGCTGGCCCCGCCGGGGTCCGCGCGCGGAGGCGGCGCCGCGGCCTGCTCGCTGGGCTCCTCGTGTGCAGTGGCCGCAGTCGGGGTGCCGCCGGGCCGATCGCGCGGAGCCGGCGCCTCAGGCAGCGCCTCACCTCGGGCGCTGCTTGACGGGGGGGGCGATACACTGGGGGGGGCGGGGGCGAGCTGTCCTGCCTCTTGAGGGCACAAGCGGATCACCTTTCTTCGCCCCCACCCCCCCCTCGTTTGTCGCTCTCCCATCACGCATCGCCCGATCGCCCTCGAGCGCCTGCGCCGCCGCCAGAGGCTCGCGGGGGCTCTCGCACGCTGGCGCGGGCAAGTCGGCGGGCGGTGCGCTTGGGTCGGCGCACAGGACTTGCGCGAGCGCTGGCGCGTCGGAGTCCTCTCGGCATCACGGGATACGGGAAACAGGTCCTGGATCGCAGGGCTGTCCCCAGGACCAAGCTTTCCATCCTGAGCAGTGAAAGTGCATGCGACTCAAGCACGCACATACACTCGCCCGACGCGCTAGAAAGGTCCAATCATGGGACAGCTCGCCCCTTGGCCCCCCGACTACTCCCTGAGCAGTTCTCTGGCGGCCCTGGCGCCCAGGAAGGGCATCGGGAGACCGACAGCGGCGACAATAACCTCCAAGGCCCGCTTCCCTCAGGACCCGTTCCATTCGTGGCGGTCCTGGCGAGGACTCCGTGTGGCGTCGGAGTCCGCTTCTTCAGACACTTCGCCTGGCAAATCGGTGGCTGTTGGAGGCTGGGAAAATGGCACCGACACCAACACAGGGGGCTGCCTCCACCAGAAAACATGATCCCAGATGCTGGTGTTGGTGACAATCTTCCGGCCACCAATGATGCCCGAACGTCACCACCATCGCCGAGATCGGGATCGCCATCCGTCGGTGGATGCACACCGCCAATATTGGTGTTGGTGTCAATCTCTAGGCCTCTGGGGCTGTCGTTGCCAGCGGCGCGGCCGACAACGCGGCGGCAGCCGCGGCAGCCGTGCGCTCCACCGGCGGCGGCTCGGCGGCGCCGTCGTGCGCCCCATGCGCGTCAGGATTCTCAGTGGCAAGCTCGGCGCTTCCCTGGAGATCGCTGGCCTTCTGAGGGGGGTGGGGGCAGTACCAGACAGAGGAGACAGATGATTGCGGAGGGAGGCGGGGAGATGAGTGGTTGGAGGAGGATAGGGATGAGGAGTCATTGTCGAATGTCTGGCTGTTCTCGCACGCAGAAGGGTGAACTGAGTGGCGCGAATACCACTTCCTCCGCCAGCCACTCCGGCCCGGAAAGGGCCGGGGTGAGCAGTGGGATGCGAGGCATGAACAGGAGCGAGGAGAAGGTTCAGAAGAATATGGTCACGGCCTTGAAGAAGAGGGGCAGGAGCGGGGAGGGTGGACGCGCTCCTGAAAAATCATCGGAGTGGACGGAAAGAGGGTGGCTCGCAGAAGTTGGGGGTAGCGAGCGAGCACCATGCAGCTTCTGTTTCCCAGCGCCTGGCCCCGTTGGCGAGCCGAAACCAGCTGCGCGCAGAAGATATTTAACTGGCCATCTCTCGGACATCTATTCCCCGTGCATGTTTGGCCGCCAAGAGTGGGCGGGGCCGGACGGCCGAAGCCCGCGCCTCAGGCCACCCCCCCGAGCGACGCCCCCCCACAGGGCGCAGCAGGCGACGCGGTCTCGCGACCGGGGGTCGCCGCAGCACGGCGGGCTTGGCCGACCCGCGCCCGCGGAGCATCAATTGACCTTCCGCGCGAGCTGTCGCAGCGCCTGCGGGCGCCGCGCGCGACTCCAGCGCGGGCCCGAGCCGCCGGAGGGCAGGCTGCGGCTGCCACGGCAGCCGAAGCCGCGCCAGGCGGCTGGCGGTCAAAAAAGCTGCCGAGCACGCCGTCGCACTCGGCGCGGCGAGGGGTCGGCCATGGCGCTGAAAAGCAGGGCAGCCGCGTGGGCGCAAACCTGGCCCGCCGGCGATGGAGGAACGCGCCAACGGGCCGGGCGGGCGGGGGAGCGCTGCGCGCGCGGGAGCTACGGCGAAGCTCGGGTCCGTGGGGGCCGACCCCGCGGGCGATGCTGGAGCGCGAGGCCCTTTCGGCGAGGCATGCCACCCAGCGGCCGGGGGCAAGCGGAGCAGACGGCGAACGGCCGCGGGCAAACCATCTGCCGCCGTCTGGGGCAAGAGCCCCGCACAGGCGAGCCGAAGCGCCAGGGCCCAAGACGCGGCGCGCCCCGCCCAGCCCCCCGAACCTCGCTGGGGAGGAGATTGGGAGGCGTCCAGCGCCGACGGAGGCAGCGAAAAAGAGGAAGGAGAGCCGCGCCAACGGGCCTGCTGGCGAGCAACGGGCGGCACAGGCATGGGGAAACCATTACCTTAGAAGAGCAATGCCGCGCGGCCGCGGCTGCCGTTCGCGAGGTGGCACGGGGGGGCTCGAGGCGGCACCCCCAGCAGCCCTCGAAAGTGGCGACTATCTCACAGTTCGCATCGCCCCAGGGATGGCGAGGTCCCGTTTGGATCTGCGGTGTCTCGCACTGTCCTGCCCCGCCCAGCAGCACCCCGAAAGTGGCGGCAATCTCACACTTCGCAGCCTCCCAGGGATCGCCACAATGCTGCCAGCCATTTACGGTTTTGCAACAGTCCTCACACCTCGCAGCCTCCAAGCGATGACGAGGTCCCGTTTGGATCTGCGATGTCCCGTACTGTGGTGTTCCCCCCCAACAACTCTCGAACGTGGCGGCAATTTCACACTCCGCAACCCCTCAAAGGTGGAGAGGTCGTGCGTGCATCTGCGGTGTCCCACACTGTGCTGCCACCCCCAGCAGCCCTAGAAACTTACGACAGGTTCACACTTCGCAGCCCCTCAGAAATGGCGAGGTGCCGCATGCATCTGCGATCTCCCCCACTGTACGGTCCCGCCCAGCAGTCCTCGAAAGTGGGGACAGCTTCACACTTCGCAGCCCCCCAGCGATGGCGAGGTCCCGCTTGGATCTGCGATGTCCAGCACCGTGTTGCCCCCGCCAGCAACTCTCGAACGTGGCGACAGTTTCACACTTCCCAGCCCCCCAGGAATGGCGGGGTCCCGTTTGGATGTGCGATGTCCCGCTCTGCACTGCCCCGCCCAACAACCCTGGAAAATGGCGACGATCTCACACTTCGCACCCACACAAGGATGGCGAAGTCTCGTTTGGATCTGCGATGTCCAGCACCGTGTTGCCCCCGTCAGCAGCTCTCGAACGTGGCGACAGTTTCACACTTCGCAGCCCCCCAAGGGTGGCGAGGCCCCGTTTGGATCTGCGATGTCCCGAACTGTCTTACCCCCTCCCCCAGCAACCCTCGAAAGACGCGCCAACCTCACACTTCGAATCCTTCCAGCGGTGGCGAGGTCACGTTTGGCTCTGCGATATCCCGCACTGTGCTGCCACCCCTGGCAACGAAAATGGCGACAATTTTACAGTTCGCACCCCCCCAAAGATGGTGAGGTCTCGCTTGGATCTGCGATGTTCCGTACTGTGCTGCCCTCCCAACAGCCCTCGAAAATGAAGACAACTTCACACTTCGCAGCACCCAGCGATGGCGATGTCCCGTTTGGCTCTGCGATGTCCCGCACTGTGCTCCCCCCAGCAGCCCTCGAAAATGGCGACAGCCTCACACCTCGCATTCCCCCCAACGGGCCCCCAGGCAGGACAGCGAAGCAGGGGGGGCATGCAAGCAGGCACATGCAGGCAGGCGAGAGGATAGGGGGGGGGGCGGGGGCGGGAGGTCTTGCAAACCCACTGTTCCATTCAATACGAGTACCCAGACGAGGGAGGGTTGAGAAAAAAAGGAGGGATGCGATGATGAGGTAGAGGATGAGGAGAACAACGACGAGACAGATCACCAGGAGGATGATGATTCGTAAGAGGAGGGGGGCGAAGGAGGAGTGAGATGAGGAGGTGCAGGAGGAGGAAGAGGAGGGGAATCATGCTTTTCATCATCGGCCCCATAGGGCATGAACACTGCTATCAGCGGCGACCGAAAGAGGCGTATGCTCGAACCTTGGTCGAGAGCGTCCTGGGGCGTTGCACAGGAGGCTCAGAAAACAAAACACGCAGAGCACCGAGCACACGGCGCCAGCACGGTCTACGAAGCTAAACTTCGACAGACCACTGGTGACACGTACACGCACTCTGCGGCAGCACTAAACGCGGTCGACGAGGGACGCCTCCTCCCCGGCTGCCACAAGAGGAGCCTCGTCCTCAACATGGGCGAGGCGCGCGGCTACCACGCGCAAAGTTTGGCCAGGAGGCTCTCGTGGCTCCTGTCCATCAGCAGAAGAGTCAAACAAAGATCTCGACGCCTCTTCGTCGGCAGCAAAATCGCCGGCAGGCTCCTCTTCGCGCGCAGGCGCGCTGGAGGGCCTCTGACTCAATGCCGACGAGAGGTGACGAGACGACGTGACAACTCGATCAATCGAACTGGCGGCCGCCTCCTTTGCCTGGATCCGCGCCTGCAGCGCGATCATGCCAGGCGTTTGGACGAGTCCAGAAGCATGAGCTCCTGAGACGACCACCTCCTGCGGCGGCGGCTGAGACGCAGAAAAACACAAAAACGAGCTGCCTCTTCTCGTGCTGCTCGTGAGCCTCGAAGGGTCACGATAATGCGGGTAGAGGCCATTGTATATGCGGCGGAGCGTTGTCGGAGCTCCGCTCAACCGACGTTGGGAACACTCCTGTCCGAGCTTATGGCAGCGGCTCGAAGTGTACGCTCCGCACACGATGCAAAAGAAACGTGTTTTCTCGGCATCACCCTTTGAGACACGGCAGTGGGCAAGAGTGTGACCAAGGCTGACGTCGAATGTTTTACGCCACGTGCTGCTCATGCCTTTGCACCCTAGCATGGGTCTGGAAAGCGGGTCGGTCCATAAAGCAAGGCAGCGCAAGCATCGCGACCTGCCTTGTTCGAGGTCCTGCCCACGCATGCCAGCCCCCTGATTTTAAAAACTTTGACCTAGGACCAAAGCTGATACGATCGAATTTCTCCTGAGGGAAGGCCGAAAGGACCTTTCCACAAACGCGTGCAACTATCCGCAGTAGTTTACATTTCCTGTCCACCTCCTCGCTTTCATTCTGAGAGGGTTGGGGGTGAGAGAGGAGAGCTGCTTTGGCCTGAGCATCTGCGCGCCAGTTTCCCAAGCCGATACGTTCATCATCTGGCAAGGCGTCAATCGCAACCAACTGTCGGTGTGCTGGCGTATGAGAGACAACGGGTACATGGCCAGCGACTTCGTGCAGCAGAGATCCGCGACGCAGACCAGCGTAACGATGCTTCCTAGAAACTTGATGCATGGGATCAGCACGGCATAGCTTAACGACGGTCAGGCTGCCCCCGCACCTGCTTCCTCCGAGCTGCTGGAACATGGGAAGCAAAGCCATCGCCTGGTGTTCGGCGGCCTGTGATGTTTGGGAAAGGGTGTCCAGGACGGCGCCACGAGCAGTAGCAACAATTTCATTGGGTCGGGACCCCAAAAAGATCCAGGAGTAGGAGGCCCGCGAGAGCTCACGGATACAATGTCTGCTGGCCGAACCGCCCACGCACACATCAAGCCCCCGCAGGTCGATCGCGCCCCAAGGCACAGCGGCACCCGAGGCATCATACAGTTGTGGGTTAGGCTCGGGGGAAGGGGGCGGGTACGAGGCTTCAGGGTGTGACCATTTCATCTCATCAAAGAAAAGCCGATCCTCGCTCTCGAGCGCCTCCGCATGCCATTCGACGGGAACCCCGTCAAGCGCTTCGGTTCGTGCCGCAGCCGCCGTCGGGTGCATGCACTGCCACAGTCGGTGTCGCACGCTGTCGGGCTGCCCGCAAAGTGGGCACAAGCCGTCAGCCTGGTACCCACAGGCGCGAGCTCGCGCTCGAGTCCAAACTCCCTTACAAAAACAGGTGAGAGCCAGATATGTTTTCCCGAGGGCTAAGGCCCTTCCCTTGGGGCCCCAGAATGTTCTTGAGGGGCTCAACACAAACGCGATCACCGCCAAACCCAGGTGCGTGCTCGGCCAGGGCCCGCTCGTGGGCCCTCTGGGAAGCGAGATCCAGGAGGTCATCGAGCATAGAAGGGGAGGTGTAACCTAC